CCCTATGGGCTTCCGCCGTTATGGGTGGGTCTAGTGTCTGAACCAATCAATCACAGGGTGTTGAAGGTATTCGGGCGGCTGTTCTGATGGGCCGCAAAGAGGCAAACTACTTTTCCAGTAATACAAATGTCGGGCCAGATCCCAGGAAGTCTCATAGCGCAGCTTTGAACTGGTAACACTTTTTCTTGTGCTAGTCTCGTGCAGGCGCAGCTATGTCAACCCAAAAACAACCGAGGCGGTTTGCACTGCTTGTTGGGATCGACTGCTACCTTGCGGGAGACGCAAGAAGATTCAGCAGTGGCCACTGCGTCTCGATCAACAACCTCGAAGGATGCGTAAACGATGTCAATATCATGAAAGAAGTTCTGAATAACGATTTCAGGATACCAAATCCAACACTTCTGACGTCACCTCCCTCAACACAAGGGGCTGAGCTTCCAACCTTCGCCGGCATTGAGAAAGCATTCGAACACATTTATGACTTTACGGAGTCCGGAGATATTTTCTTCTTCTATTTCTCTGGACACGGGGCACGACTAAGGCCAATATCTGTATCGCCCACGGGAGCAGCTTTCGATCCATCCCTGCTGCCTATGGACTTCTGTCTAGGACAGCCAGCTATCCGTGGATGGCAGCTCAACCAGTGGTTGCAGAAGTTCAGTCATAAACAGGTTCAAATCCTTGCCATCATTGATAGCTGTCACGTGGCTGGCTCAGAGGAATCTGGTGAGCGGTACAGGACCCCCCTCAATTGGGATGCCGTCAATTTACTCCCACAAGATGAGCTAGCGGTCCGTGATATCCACAGCGCCGCTCAAGACCAGCCCAGCCCTCAAACATCATGGTCGATGTACCCAGAGACTTTCACGTTGATGGCAGCTTGTGAGGATGATGAGAGCACTGCAGAAATGCTAATTGATGGAAGTTGGGTTGGCGTGTTCACGAAAACGATCGCCGACATCTTCCGAACATCCGGGGCTGACGAAGGAAGTCTGACATATTGTCACCTAAAGGAACGTTTGGCGAGAAGGCTTCGAGCGCAGCATTCTGTCGTTCATGGTCAAGACCGGCTACTATTCTTGGGTGATGGACGGTCTTATCCACGGTCACATCTCATCGCCTGGTTCCAGGATGGCAAAGTTCATCTTCCCATTGGGAAAGCTCACGGGGTCCACAGCTCCTCCGAATTCATCCCCATTTTGGCACCTAGCAGATTTGCTTTTAGAATGGACCACATTGAAGATTTTTACTCGACGGTTCAGCTTCAGTTTGAGGTCTGCGAAGCTCTGGCTAGAGATGATTTTCGAGTCGTCGCCTTCCGGTGGAGCTTAGGAAGCCGACAATTACGTGTTTCCTATGACGCCACCGTCAACAGTACGCTCCAGGAGTACATTCTCCACGCCCTGAAATGTCGTATTTCCAGTGCGATAGAATTTGCGGCAACCGGCCATTCTGACAAGCGTCGTTCAGACTCTTTGCACATCAATCAGCAACCTCATGGCGGCGTTTTTGTTCAAAAGCCGACACATCTCGTAGGCTACGAAGGACTAGCTCATGACTCGAGCATAAGCAGCAACACAATCGATCATACTGCAGAAAAGGTCGCAGAGCATATATTGCGCGTTTCTCGCTTCGAGCAGGCTCTGCAGCTTCGAGACAATACGTCGCCTGGGCCTAGACCGTTCGAAGTACTTATTCAGCCACTTCATGGCCTCTCTTCCATGGGTCCGTTCCCCCACAATCAGCAATTCGTATTCAGGCTTCACAGCGAGTGCGAAGAGGATCTGTTCTTCACCTTAATGAACTTTTCTCCTGGCTTTGGGATTCGGCAGGGTTTTCCTGAAGACTGGTTTTCGGCGAGGCTTGGGGCGCATGAGACCATCGCGTTCCCATTCACCATGAACATGGCCGATGAACTCAAGATACCAGCAATGATAAACGAGGAACAAGTCATCCGAGATATTGTCCGTATCATCGTTGTTCAAGGCGGGGAGGTATCTTGGAAAAGCCTAGAGCAGCCCAACGTCTGGAGCTCTGGCCAAGAAAGTCGCGGCCAGACGCAGTACAGGGATTGCATTGTTGCAGACAAGCATCGAAAATGGTGGATGGTTGATGAAGAGATAATCACAATCACCGATGGTTTGAAAGCTCCACCACAGCACCCACCGAGACGTGCTCTGGGCTTTTTGGATGAGCGACTGAAGCAAGTAATGCAGCGGTTTCGTTTGGGTTGTCAATTGTATCTCAGCTTTTCGCGCACTGGCAACATTGAAGATATCAATCATGCCATCCGCGAAATACGGCATGCTGTCGCCGACACTACAGGTACCGGGAAGGAGGTTGAGGTTATGCGTGCGACACTTGGAGAAATTGGGTTTTCTCTCAGCCAGCAATCAGCTAATACTGAGTCCGCCGAATATCTCAAAATAGCTGTGGAAGCAACGAAAGCATCTGGCCTCTGTGGCGTTTCTCGCGAAAAGCTTCTGAATCAGCTGGGGTCACTTCTGGGAAGATTGTTCAAATGCACAGAGGACCCAGCAACTTTAGAAGAAGCCATTCGAGTTACCAAGGAAGCAGCTTCTTCTACCAATGGCAACTACTTGGAACAAGCCACGGCCTTAATAAATCTGTGCAATCGACTGAGCGAGAGATTCAAGTATACTGGCCTGCTGTCGCACCTTGACGATGCGATTGACTTTGGCCGCGAGGCTATGGAGAAAACACAGCGCATCCCTCAATACTGGAACATTCAAACATCGATTGCTGCCAATCTTGGACTGTCATTATGCGACAGATTTTCAGTCACAGGCCGAAACGAGGACCTTGATGAAGGCATCAATCTGTGTGCAGTCGCTGTCTTGCAAGCAAGTCCGACTGATCCTAACCGTGCCCTCTGGCTCAATAACCTCGGTCTCGCGCACAACCACCAGTATTCTGTCTCGAACAATATGAATGATCTCGATGAAGCTGTACGGGTGACACAAGATGCTTTGACTAGCATCCATCCCCGGCATCCGGCACGCAGTGGAATCATTTTTAACCTAGCCTCACGGCTCAGGGACAGGTCACGTTCTACTGGATCGATAGAAGACTTGAATGAAGCTGTGAGGTACTTCCGGGACATTCACGTGTCAGGTGACGCTGGCAATCTTCCAAGTCAGAAGATTGAGATATCAAAACGACTTAGTCTCTTAGGCATTTCTTTGGGAGAACGATTTGAAAAGACCCATCAACGTACTGATATCGAAGAATCCGTCAAGATTTTAAAGATGTCTCTTGCAGCACAACCGGAAGGATCTACTGAAAGAGGGGTACGATTGCAGAACGTAGCCAATGCTCTACGTTTGAAATTTGAGCTGTTGAGAGATGTACGTGACATCGAAGAGGCCATATCTTTACGAAGACAAGTTCTTCAAGAGAAATTTGACTTCGGTCTGAATCGCAAAGAGCTTCTGGAGAGTATGGTGGTTGATCTGCATTTGAAGGCCATGAAGACGAAGTCCCTGGTGGATCTGGAACAAGCCATCCAGGGCTGGAAACAGACAATTGCATCAGCCTCCGAAGGTCAATCAGAGAAAGCGAGTCGACTCGAACGATTGGCAATGGTGCTTTACACTAGGTTTCAGGTAACCGGTGACACATCCAATCTTGACGAAGCGGTCAATTCCTGTCGGAACGCTCTATCAGTGGCGATGTCTCCTAGCGACTGCATCGATATTCGACGTACTCTGTCCATCTGTCTGTCCGCAAGAGCGTCCCATACAGGAGCCATGAAAGACACAGATGACTGTATCAAGCTCTCCAAAGAGACACTGGCAGATTCTGGCATTCAAGATTCAGACAGGCGCATCTTTCTAAGTTGTCTTGGGTCTTGCTTCGAAATTCGGCACTCAAACACCGGATCAATGGATGATCTCAACCAGAGCATTCATTTCAACAGGCAGTCAGTGGATATTTTACCCGCCGATGACGACCACAAACCTTCCGAAATATCCAACTTGGCAACTGCACTCCAGACCAGATTCCAACGAACAGGACAAATGATAGACATCAATGAGGCTATTCGACTTCTGAAAGAGCTGATCTATACTAGGCCCGGTGACGTGGAAGATGAGACCGTATTCCGAACAAATCTGGCCGGTCTTTTGGCCGAGAGATACATCAGAACATCAAACATGCATGACATCGACGAAGCAATCGAACTGGCACGACAAACGATCCCGTACAAACACGCCAACAGGCCTTCTCGCTTGAATAACCTGGCTGGCCTTTTGCAGCGGAGATATAACTACAAAAAGCAACCAGAAGACCTCACTGAAGCGGTCCAATTCTCCCGGGAGGCCGCTTTGACTATGAACAACCAAAACCCTAATCATGCGGTGCTTCTTTCCAATCTCGCAATTGTTCTCTCTGAGAAACATCGCATTTCCATGGCATCGGATGATCTAGATGAAGCAATTCGGTTCGGGAAGGAAGCTGTTGAAAAAACTCGGGCTGATCATCCAGAACGAGCCAAAAGGACCTTTTTTCTTGGGCTCGATCTTGAGCATCGACATGCACACTCCAGAGATCTAGATGATCTCGAGACAGCCAAGAAGTGCCATCTTGAAGCCCTGCACACCACTAATAGCGGAGCCAATGTACGCATACACGCAGGCCATCGGTTTATGTCTATCTGCGACATAGCTGCCCAACATGAAGAGGCATTCTCTGCTGCTGAGACCGTTGTAGCGCTCATTCCTTTGATGGCATCTTTAAGCCTGCAGCCCGCAGATAAGCAACATTTTCTTTCACAGGTTGTTGGACATACCTCTGATGCTGCAGCCATTGCACTTGCAGTGGGCAAATGTCCGGCATCTGCGGTCGAACTATTGGAGACTGGTCGGGGTGTAATTTCAAGCACTCTCCAAGACCTGAGAGCTGATGTCACGACCCTAGCAAAGTTTAATCCAGAACTGGCCGGACGTTTCGTGGAAATCCGCAATAAGCTAGATGCTCCAATGGTTGTCTCCTCCAGGAAAGCAGACTTTCCTATCCAAAGTCATGACAGGATTGTCGGAGCCTTTCCATTCGAAGGCGATCAGCGCCACGAGGCCAGTGGTCAGTTGAGCGATTTGTTGACCGAGATCCGCGATGTTCCTGGATTCGATAGGTTCCTTCTCGCCGGGACTGAGATGCAAATGAGAGAAGCAGCTGCTGGAGGTCCCATTATCATCATCAACGTGGGTGCCCATAGGCGCGACGCCTTGGTCATCGACCAAAAGGGCATTCGTGCGTTGGAGCTCTCAGGTCTAAGTATTGAGGATATACATTCTCGCTCAAATACTCTGGACTCGGTGAAGACACTTGAATGGCTATGGGATGTCGCTGTCGGACCTATTCTTGACTTCCTCGGGTTTACTGGTACGCCAGGTGAGGGCATGCCGTGGCCGCGGGTTTGGTGGATTCCGACAGGCGCGCTCGTGCGGTTCCCCCTTCATGCTGCCGGTTATCACCTTCGTCGCAACTCAGATACGGCCATGGACAGGGTGATATCGTCGTACAGCTCGTCTGTAAAAGCCATCACAAACGCTCGAAGACAGCGGCTCCTTGTTGATGGGGACCCCGAGTCAGGCTCAAATGCTATCCTCGTTTCCATGTCAGAAACTCCAAAACACTCGAGTCTTCAGCATGCAAAGAGGGAAATCGACGAGGTCAGCAAAATCTGTTCATCCATGGGCTTGCCATTTGAACATCCAGAGAACAACAATCGAGATGTTTTGAATGCTCTAGACAACTGCAAGATCTTCCATTTCGCGGGGCACGGAGGTACCCATCCTACAGACCCATTGAAAAGTCTCCTTCTCCTCAAAGACTACGACAGCTTTCCCCTTACGGTCGGAAGCCTCCTTGACAAGAACCTACAGTCGAAGAGGCCTTTCCTCGCCTACCTTTCGGCATGCGGCACCGGCGAGATCAAAGATAAAAACTCTGTTGATGAGAGTATTCACTTGACCAGTGCTTTTCAGCTTGCGGGGTTTCAACACGTTGTTGGTACACTCTGGAGCGTCGACGACGCGGTGTGTGTGGATGTTGCAAGAGCCACCTATGAAGCGATCCAGGAGCATGGATTCAAAGACACTTCTGTAAGCCTAGGCCTTCACCGGGGTTTGCGATCGCTGCGTGATCGATGGGTGGCTAGTGAAACGGATCCCACGGTTCCTCGTCGGGACATCAAAGTCCCTCGGTTCGAAGATCGCAGATTGTTGTGGGTTCCATATGTGCATTACGGCGTCTGAGTGTTTCTGGTGGGTTTCTGGATTTTGGATTATTTTGTTCATTCTTTCAACATAGGCAATTCATGCAATGAAATTGAAGATCAAGTCTACTCTTCGAAAGTAAACATCCATCGAATAGTAACTTGTAGATCCTGAAACCCAGATGTCATTTGCTTCTAGTCAAGGTCATAACCTACTTATGCGCCCGTGAACTTTGCCCCAACTGGTGGAGTATTTACCCCCATTCCCATAAAAGTTTGGTGTCGAATGAATGCGTTCAGGGCTGGCATTCCTCGTTGCGTCGTCTCTCCTTGACTCCAAAGCACGCCAGCTCGCCTTGATCATTGCCCATGAAGGTATCCTAAAACATTCGTAAGCAAGTCAGAAGCTAACGATGGAAAGGGTACCTACCAAGTCAATCTCCGTGTCCATCAACTTATGCTCAACCCCAGCCGTCGGCTTCGGCCAGCAGCGGCAGCTGTACATCGTGGCCCTGTCTGGGTCCTTGAAGCCACAGTCCTGGCAGGTGCGCCAGAAGCGGCCGTCACGACGGGCGACGAGGTTGCCACGGCGGTTCTCGAGGCACTGGCCGAGACGGAAGCGGTTCTGGAACCAGCTACCATTCATGTTGCTACAACAGGCCCAGACAATGGTGTCAATGAAGTCGCCGTGGATGTTGGTGCAGGTCTTGCTGAAGTTGTGATAGCTGGCGAGGAGTTGATTGCCAAGGGCGTCGTTGATGGAGAAGTTGCCGTTGGCAGAGACGTTGAAGCTCTCGACTGCCGCACTAGTGAGGATTGTGGAAGGCACAGGAATCGGCGGGGGAGGTCCGATGGGACTGGTGATCCTGGCAGCAGCCGCTGCAACAATGGTAGTGCTGAGCTGCATGGTGATAGGTGTTGAGATGTTGAGATTTTGTAGAATGTGATTTTATATTGAGTGTGTGCCTTACTTTTGTCGATGGAGGTGTTTGGGTTGAAGGCGTTGTAGGTGAAGAAGCTGTTTTTGATGGGGCCTGGTGTATGTTGTCGAGTTGGGAAAGCCTTGGGAAAGAAGGTGCTGCTGACCGGGTGAAGTCTTACGATATGCTGGCATGAGGATTCACTGCGCGGAAGGACCGTCGAACCTTCCTATGGAATATGTCAAGCGACTTTAAGAACCGATGGAAGGAAGGACATGCGCCCGCCGTGAGCTCTCAGTCCCACGAGAGAAATAAAAGAGCAGCTAGGTCATATAATCCCCCAATTTTTCTCTCGGCAATCTAGAGCGCGATCTTACAGGTGAAAATTCAAAGAGACCACTGTGGGCCATCAAGCAATTTCCTTCAATCGTTCCTCACGTAGTGAATCTTCACTCCAGCTTGTTTTCAACGGCGAGCACCATCGCATCCGCGATAACGGACCCACCCGGACGACGTTGACGGCCCCACCACTGCGCATCCGGAGCCGGAGCTCCCTCCGGGGACCGTGCCCTGGCTCAAGAGGAGAGGTGAATCAACAGGATGTTCCGTTTTATAGTATCGGAATGATTGTTTAGATTGTATCGACTCGATGTTAAACATTATACTAGTGAAAGGCCTTACTTTTAATCGCTGAAAACAAGAAACACACCCACCCAAGTCTACGCAAAACTACCACGAAAAGCCCAACGCGTCCTCTAGGCCATAGTACAAAGGACAGATATAATCCGCCGTCAAAAGTGACGACACCGCCGTCACCCCCGTCGACGACCCAGACCCGATCAACCCCAAATCCATGCCCAACAGCGAGCCGCCCACCTTGGTCCACCCTACGCCGCCGGCCGGGTTCTTCGCGAACCCGCCCCAGACGCCCTGCATCCACGAGCTCAGCTTGGTCTGCTGCGCCGACGCGGCGCCCCACTTGGCGTACTGCCCGTACGTGCCGAAGACCGACGGGATCTCGCTCGTGTGGTACGAGCCCGCGTTCGCGAAGATGCTCGTCGACGTGAAGGACGGGTCGTAGCGGTAGCGGTACGCCGTGTACCCGTTGGAGGCGAGGTACGACGCGAGCGTGGACGTCGTGCAGGTGAAGACGGCGTCGGTGATGATGCGGTCGGCCAGGATGTACGGGTCGTTGAAGCCCTGGAGGGCGTACTTGGACAGGATCGAGTTCTTGGTCGCGGCGTCGGTGATGCCGACCATGGAGAGCGCGTCGCTCATCGCGCCGCTGCCGTCGTTCATCCCGTCAACCGCAAGAAAGGCGCGCGCCTCGTTGAGCGTGGTGCCGATCATGACCGGGATCTTGGGCCACGTCTTGCCGGAGATGCTGGGGCGCACGTCCTTGGTCGCGGTGCCGTCGCCGGCGACGGGCGGGAAGACGAGCGCGGCAGACTCGATGTAGGCCTTGATCGCGGTGGCGTCCACCTTGCGCAGGCAGGCGATGTCAGCGCAGGAGAATTGCTTGAGGACCTTGTTGTAGCTGTCGAGGCCGGAGCCGAGGAGCAGGCTCTGCTGGGACTCCATGATGGCGGCGGCGAAGGGCAGCGGGGATGGCGGGTTCGCGAGGAGCTGCTTCACGGACTCGCCGCCGGCGGACTCGCCAAAGATGGTGACGCGCTTGGGATCGCCGCCGAAGGATGCGATGTTGTCCTGGACCCACTGCAGGGCGAAGCGCTGGTCGAGGTAGCCGGCGTTCTGGGAGCCCGTGGCGACCTCGGGGGAGTTGGAGAAGCCGAAGATGTTGGTGCGGTAGTTGATGGTGACGACGATGACGTCCTGGGCGACGGCGAGGGTGCTGCCGTCGTAGATGGGCAGGCTGGCGGTGCCGAACTGGAGGTTACCCGGGAAGATCCAGAACATAACGGCCTTCTTGGAGGTCGGGGTGGCGGTGGGCGGCGTAAAGACGTTGAGGTAGAGGCAGTCCTCGCTCTCGGCCGTCAGGGGCCCGGTCGGGTTACCGAAGATGGCCTTTTGGAGGGTCTGGGCGTTGCCGCTGTCGGTGAACTGCTGGATGCAGGCGGGCTTGAAGGCCGTCGCGGTGAGCGGGGTGGTCCATTTTGCCGGGGCCTGGGGAGGGGAGAACCGCTCCGGGGGCGACTTGGCGAAGGGAATTCCGAGATATGTGTTTGCGCCGGGGGCTGAGGTGGCGCCGACGACGACGCCGGAGGCGATTGTTACCGACGGGGTTGCGGCTCGGGCGTTGTTTGCCGGGGCCGCGAGGACTTGGAGAAAGAGGGTGGATGAGAGAAGGAGTGAGAGCTGGTTGAAACCCATGGTCGATGGAGAGAATGTGGTTGGGTAAGACCTTTGGAGAAGGAATGTGATGAAGCGAGTCGATGCTCTTGGTTGTTGGAATGCTATGTTTCAAGGGCTCTCTCGTCTCTTCTTATATGAAATACCTGTAAGTCTCGCCCATTCTCTCAGAACGGAGCCACCGGTATTCAATAATTCAACCGCCACAACGGACCATCTCCTTCTTTGTGCCACGAGAGACACCCATCCAAGACATCCGCGCTTATCCCACCAAGTCGGTGCTTTGACCAACACCAAGAAGTAGCCCGCCTCCCACCCCGGGCCAAACGACGCCGCTTCCGGGAGGACGAACAGCCCGCATTCGGCATCTTCAACGGAGCTTGTCTCACTTCGTAAAGAAAGCTTGACGAAATAACCGACTAAGAGGCTCTGGCTTCTCTTTCATGGCTCCCGACCACGAGGGAACCGGGGACCGCACTGGGCAACGACCTGCCGAGTGACGCTAGGCGCAGCGGACTTGGCGCAGAGACAGGACTAGACCCGGTCTAGGCGGACAATGGCATTGGCGACGGCGTGAACCAGGGCGCTGGGACGTGTGTAAGTGGACTGATGCTTGCGAGGTCTTCGGAGCATTAGAGGGGAGCATAGGACGAGGTGGCGCCACTCATCTCTCTTGATGCCAAGCCGGGACGCTCTTCATCGGGGAAACTTTGACGCCGGTCTCTTTGGGGATGGAGCTTTGATAAGGTCATGATTGGCGCATGTGCTGACATAGATTCATTGAGTCCGTACAATTGTGGCATCCTTGGAGCTTGAAGCTTCTTCCAGAGGTGTCCTCGATCACCGTAGTGCAGCCCGGAATCGCTTCCGGCGCGTCTCTTCCAATGGTAAGTCTCCGTCATAGGCGAGACTGTGACATCCTTTCCCACCGTCATCCTTCCGGATCATCCTTCACCCCCATCAGGCCTGAAAACGCGCCGTATCAAACCCATCCTCACAAATACAATACCCGCCCGAACTCCCCGTACTATCCGCGTCGCACCGCCTCCCTTGCCCGCCCTCGAACACTGGAGATGCATCCTTTTGGGGGGGAGGTTGTGGTTTTTGATGGAGGGTCGTTGAGATTGAGTTGCGTTGCGAAGGGAGATCAGATGAACGGAGAGATGGGATGGCAGGTCCCCACGATCGACACGACCAGACGATTCGGCCGGGCTTTGCGCATAAGCCGCTCTTACATCGAGCCGGTCGCAGTGAAGTGTTCAAAGTTGGCTCGCAGATTTCAAAACAGGGTCTATCTCGCCGAATTAGTGAGAGGCGCTGACCCGGGAGTTATTATATCTTCAACTTATCCCCCACTGCACCACAAACTTCCCTTCTGCGACGACATCTAAAGCCTCGCTCAGCGTCGGTCGGATCATGCCGAAGAACCCGGACATGTGTGTGGTTCATTGGTGGCTATGCAGGCCTAGAAAGCGATGACATGAGTCGTAGTAGCCCGACCCCTTATATCCGCGCGCGGAAGCTCGTACCGCGGACATCAAATTAATTAGCTCACAGAAATTCACTTTCCAGGAGAGGCCAAATTTGAAGAAGAAAAAAGAGAGGTATCAAGATTACGTAAAAACAGGCTGCTCCCGTTTTCCCTAGCAAAGCCCGTATGACTAGTCTATAAATCTAAGGTGTATACATTATCACATTAAAGGAAACCTGGCGGCCGGTGTCACCATCTCTCTTCTTTCTTAGGGGGAGGTGCCGGCCAGGTTCTGCAACCTCGCGTACTCCGTTCTGAGGATGTAGAGGTTGAGCCTCACTCCCGCGCCGCAGTATTGTGTGCTGTTGCCTGGACACTTGAAGGAGCAGTCCGAGCTGGACACGTTCGCGGCCATGGTGGTGCCGCCGCTGCCGCCGTAGTTGAGGGAGTTACCGCACCAGCACTCGCGGCCGTACTCGACACCGGCGTAAAGCTTGTCGGAGCAGGCGCTGAGGCACTTGTTGATGGTCATGTTGACGCCGTCGTTGACGACTTGCGTGGGCAGTAGACGGCCGACTTGAGGCTCGGAGAAGCAGCCGTAGTAGGTGAAGTTCTGGTCTCCTGGAACGATGACAGGGCCTGTCGGGGTCGGCTTCGCGGAGGAGGTGCTAGAAGAGGTGCTTGAGGAGCTCGACTTGAAGGTCGAGGTCGAGGTCGAGGAAGAGGAGGAAGAGGAGGTTATGAGGGAGGAGGAAGTCGCCGTGGAGCTCGAGGACGCAGACGAGCTGGGGCTTGTCAGGGTGCTTGAAGCGGAAGACAAGCTTGAGAGTGAGGAAGAGCTAGAGCTTGTCGAGGAGCTGGAGGAAGCCTGAGAGCTGGAGCTCGAAGAGGAGCTAGTGGCCGTGGAGGAGACCGAAGCAGCAGAGAAGATGGAGGAAGACGAGCTAGAGGATGAAGAAGAGCTAGAGACCGTAGAGGAGCTGGAGCTTGAGGAGCTTGAAGCTGTAGAAGAGCTGGAGGCGGAAGATGAGCTCGAAGCGGTCGAGGAGCTGGAAGCCGTAGAAGAGCTGGAAGATGTCGTGGAGACTGCAGCTGCCGTAAGGCCAGAAGTCGATGTGGAGCTAGAAGCCGATGGAGAGCTGGATCCTACCGTGGAGCTGGACGATGAAAGAGAGGCAGAGTTCAACGTGGAAGAAGAGGACGAGGCCGAAGACGTAGTGCTCTGAGTTGCCGAGGAGCTAGAAGACGACGTCAGGGTCGAAGATGAGGACGACGACGTAGTCGATGTGAACGCCCCAGGGATAAGTCCAGGAGTGGAGCTTGTGCTCGACGAGAGAGAAGTGATGCTGCTGGACGTAGAGGACACAGTCGAGCTCGAGCTGAAACCCGAAAGAGTCGACGAGGTTGAGGTAGACGGGGCCTTGTCCTGGATAGTCACCGAGGCGGCAGAGCTACTGGATGAGGTGGATGCTGCGGTGGACGAAGATGTTGTCGCAGTGGTGGACGAAGACGCAACGGGAGAGTACATGTAGAGTTGGAGTCGGTTGCCAGCACCGCACTTCTGCGTGCTGTCACCGGGGCATGGGAACGAGCAGTCCGTCAGAGGCGCTTGCTTTGACGTAGCATCCAGGACATTGCCACACCAGCATTCTCGGCCGTACTCGGTACCAAAGTACTTGAGGCCCTGGCAGAAACCACTGCAAGATTGCAGAGTCATGGAGTCATTGGCATACGTGCGGACCGGGAGAGCGCGAACGCCTGTGCCCTCTGTCCAGCAACCCTGGAAGAGCCAGTCGCCGATACGGCTGTTAGCGGCGGTGGTCGTAGCAGCAGCCGAGGTTGACGTAGAGGTGCCGGTACCAGTGCCGGCTGAGGTTGCGGTACCAGTACCAGATGCAGCGGTGCTGCTCGAGCTGCTCGGCACGGGCAAGGAGGCGTTGAGTGTGTACATGTTGAGTCTGTTGGGACCACCGCAGTATTCGCTGCTGTTGCCGTTGCAAGTCATGCTGCAGTCCGCGGCGAGGGCCGGGATGGCGCCGGTAGCAAGGGTGTTACCGCACCAACACTCTCCTCCATACTCCACTCCGATCCATGTGTACGCTTTGGCGGCGCAAGCTGTGATGCAGTTGCCGACTGTTTGAGTCTGAACATTGACCAAGTTGGGCAGGGCACGGCCGTTTGTTCCCTCGGTGTAGCATCCTGCGCTCACATACTGGCCCACACCGGGGTTGACGACAGGACCAGAAGGATTCGTCGGGTTGGTCGGGTTGGTAGGGTTGGGCGTGGGCGTAGTGGTGTTACCGTCCCATTGGGTAGAGTCCGCGAAGACAGAGATGAAAGCGCCACCCTGGAGGGTGCCAACGCCGTTGCCACCGCAGACCTGGTTAAGGTCACCGCCGCAGTCAAAGTTGCAGTTCTTGTCGTCAACCTTGAGGTTGGGGATGGTGGGGCCGCCCCAACATTCGGTGTGGTACTGAGTGCCGCAGAAGACGTAGTTCTTCGCCGCGCAGTTAGCGATACAGCTGGGGTTGGTGTTCGTGGTGCCTCCGGCGAGCTGGTTCGGGAGCTGGCGGCCGGGGTTGTTCTCCTTGTAGCATCCGATGTATCGGTATTTGCCCTGGCCGCTAGGCAGGAGAGGCGGGGCTTGCTCAGAGACCGCATTGCACACGAAGGTGAAGAAGTGCTTCTCAAAGTTGGGATCATTGGTGTTCATGGTCCAAGGCGCCGATCCTACGTAGGTATCGACGTTCCATTGAGACTTCGGAACGGAACAGACCATGGTGGCCGTGGCGCTCTCGCCGGGGGCAAGCTGGGTACCCTCAGCCAGGTCAACCGTGTTGGCAGCCCCGACAATACCAGGGATACCGAAAGGCGGCTTCGAGACGGTAAGGATGAGGTTGACACCTCCGGCAGCAGCATTGTTGGTGACACGGAACTTGAGGGATCTAGAGGTGTTCTCGGTGACGTTGCCGAAGGTGAAGTTCTTGCTAGCATCATATTGGACCCAGCCGGTCGCATCGGGCGTCTGGAACTCGATCAAGGCAACAGGAGCAGGTCCGGCGGAGCCTGCAATGGTGAAGGACTTGCTACCGCCGTTAGAGTTGACTGTGAGGTAGGCACCGAAGCTTCCAGCCACCGAAGAGTCGAAGGCAATGTCTACAGTGACGGCGCTGTTGGGGTCGATTGTGGCGGGAATGTTGCTCAGAGTGAACTTTCCGACGGTGAGAGTGTCAGTCTCGTGGTTCCATGTGGTGAAAGGACCCTGAGCGCTAGTCGTAGAGAACTGGACGTTAGTGATGGACAGAGGAGCGTTGCCCTGGTTGGAGATGATGACAGTCTCCGAGAGAGTGCCGTTGGATCCAGCAATGATGCCTTGGAAAGTGATAGTTGGCGGAGTGACGGCCAGTAGCGGACTGGAGCTCTCCCCAGTACCGGTCAATCTGACATGAGTGTTCTGACTGTAACCAGCGACAGCGTTGGTGGTGTTGACAAGGAGATCGGAAGAGACCAGACCAACGGTGGTGGGCTTGAAGGCAACGGAGACGCTGAATGTCTGACCGGCGGTGAGGGTGAGCGGCAGAGTTCCAGCGTTGGTGATGACGAAATCGTCCGCCTCATCCAGGCCAATGTCTGTAACAGTGACGCCGATCAGAGCCGTGCAAGAGATCGAGCGCGCCACGCTCTGATTGCCGACGTTGACGGTGCCGAAATCATTGGAGGAGGTGCAGTTGACAGGCACGTTTACGGGCGAGCCGAAGGCATAGAGGTAACCGAGAGTGGTGCCCTGGTACATGATGCCATCACCGAAGACAGCCCTGCCGAACTTGGTTGAGCCAGGAACACTGAAAGACTTGATGAGGTTCATGGCACCGTTCTTGGGAATGGCGTCATAGATCCTGAGTTGGGAGCCCTGAACATCGAGAGTCCAGATGAGACCGGTACCTGGCTGGTTGTTGAGAGAGGTAACAGTGCCGTGGCTGACACCGAGGATGGCAGCGTTCGCGGCGGGGCTCGTCGCGACCTTGGTGAATGAGGGAACTCCAGCTGTGCAGGAGAACTTGAAGACGTTTGTGGGGTAGTTGATGACATTGATGAAGATGTAGCCGCCCTCCAACGGGTAGACACCAGCTCCAGCATACACCGAGTTGTCGTTCTGGTAGACCTGAATGACAGCATCCAAACGATTGGCACCGTTGCGGTAGCCGCCCATGTTGTCGAGGTTGATCCAGTACGTCTTGCCGCTCTTGCCGGTCACAACACCGATGCGCCTCACGTCGCCGCAGGAGAAGGCGCTGGGGAGAATCTGCAGAGGACTGGTACCCAAATCCTTGTCGGCACCGTCCAAGGCTTGCTTCTCCCAGGGCATGAAAAAATCGGTTACGGTCAAGCTCCCGTCACCGCCGATACTCATGTGAACAGCGGCCTCCTCCATGGCCGTGGGAGGCTGGCGACCGTTGACGGGGATGGTGCTGAGCTGAGAAGCGTAACCGTTGCCGGTAGCGAAGAACATGGAGCCGGCATCGTCAGACGCGAGACCACCGCCAGACATCCAGACGCCAGCGCCGGGGGTGGTGTTAGGAACGCCGTCACCCTGAGTGGCCCACCGCTCAACCAGATTACCGCTCGTCTTGTCGAAGCCAATGATCCATCCGGTGAAGTTGTACTGCACACAATGGGAAGCGAAACCAAGGTAGACGAACTGTCCGACGTTCAGAAGGGCGGGGCGTTGGTGATGGATGCCGCCGTTGAAGGATCGGATCGGGTTGTTCCTGGCCACAGTGCCCTCCAAGTTGACGGGGAAGTTGGGTCGTTCCAAGAGGGTGTTAACATCCAGTGCGTGGATGTAGTAACGTCCGGCCGTGCGGCCCTGGGCGACATTGGGCTTGCTCTGGTCGGCATAGGTCTTGGAGGTCAGGTACAGGGTGTCGGTAGACGGGTCAATGACACCGGTGGCGGTGATGCCGACGTGGGGGTTGATGTCGACGCAGCCGTCGAGGTCGGCGGTCAGGAAGGGAATGTGAAGGTTGCGAGAGGCGACGATCGCTCCGGTCTTTGCATTAAGTTTGTAGACATTATTCTGTTGCGTTGCGACGTAGACGTATTGTGTGCCGTCGCCGCCGCTCGGGGTGTAAACGAGAGGCTGTGAGAAGATCTGCTCGGGTTGGCCGCCGTAGTTGCCGGGAAGCTGCGTCCGAAACAGCTGGCCGAACTGGGAGCTCCCTACCACGGAGGGGTCCATGTTGTGTGTTCTTGATATCAATTCGCGTTAGAAGCTGTTCATTCTCGCGATGCAGGCTTGATCTCCGCCTCCTCCACCGGGCGGAGCGCTGCCATTGTGTTTGCACAACGATCTTCACCGGGGGGGCTTTGTGGGGGAGCTGGGAAGGGCAGAGTCTCATCAACTTACGTTTGGTAGCCGGCGCGGGAGTTGTCGCCTCCCCATGTGATGGTGTCGGTTGAGGCCAGACCGTTGGCGAGGCCGACGAGGGCTGTCAACAGCCATGTTGTGAGAGGAGCCATGGTGAGATGGACTGTGGTGCTCACTGGCGCGATGGTTGGCCGTGGAGCTGTTGTTGGATTCGAAATGAAGGAAACCCGGACGGATGGGGATGAGGAGACAGAGGATCCATGTGCTCAGAGACGGGAGGGCGGCTGCTAGATATGAAGTTTTGGAAATGGCATGCTGGAGTGACGGGTTGACGGTTGACGGTGTTAGCGCAGGTAGCTGAAGCAGCAGCTCGTGGGCGCGGCCGCGTCGGTCGGCACAGCCCAAGCCAGCCCACGCGGGCGAAAGAACCGTGGGCCCATCGTGGTGGATGCAGGGCCAGGGTAGCTCGAGGGCCGGGACCTTGCTTGCCTTGCCTGTCATGGGATGGCATGGCATGGCATCAGCCATATCCTTGCCATGTCCATGATCCAGTCCAGAGGAGGAAGAGAGCAGCTCGAGCTAGTGAGCCAGGGCCGTGACAGGACCCCAGGCAGTTGGTCGTGGAGAGGGACGAAAGAACGGCGTGCGTCAGACCAGTGACTTGGCGTCCTTGTTGACAAAGAGAGCAAGCGAGCACAACGATGGCGGGCAACGTTCAAAGAGCTCTGGGTTCTGGCACATGGCTGCCATCAGAAGCGCAGGCGGGCGGTAAACATGGGCCGTTTTGGCTTTGACAGAGTCGAGGCTAGCGTTGCAGCGGCATTTCCATTGGCTTGGCTGGATGCGAGACTCGAGAGGCTCTCGAGTCTCGATGAATCTTTTTTTCCTGTGATGGTCTGCCTGCGTTTGCTCCGGCGAGGGCGACTCGACTGGCATACCCCCTGACGATCGCGTAGGTTGGGCGCATTGGCACTGCTGGGCAGACCTTGCTGCGAAATGCCATTATTTGGTGACCAGGCAAAGGTTGGCCATTAGGTGGTGCAAGGTCAGGCAAGGTAGGCAATGTACTTGTTGCTGCACGGCAGGCGGGCGAGATCAGCACTACTGCATCGTAGAAGGGCAACACGAAGAAGATGCCGCATGCAATGCAACCGCAACGTGCTGGGCTGCAGCTGCAGTTGGCTGGCTGACACCTCTGCCTGTTGAACAATTAGCGACGTCTTTTTTTCTGCGATATTTTAATTGGGGATCGACGCACGTCTGCGGGTATCCAACGCCACCTCGTCCGGTGTTTTGGTCGACTGGTGTGGTACGTTGCAGAGAGAGGCAGAGGCAGAGGCAGACCAAGAGAGAGGCGACAGTTGACAACGTGAATTGGGATGGATGAAAGAAAGAACGAAGATGGTGGGAAAGTTGACTTGCCTGATTGAGAAAGCGCAGTGGGGTTCAGGGCAGATACGGTTAAATGAGATGCCCCACTCACCGCCACCCCGGTACGTACCTCACCTTCACTCAGTGAATACCCTTCCCTCAACTGGGCTTGCTGGCGTTGCTGGCCTAGGAAAACACTTCACCATCTTCCCTTGTCCTCCTCCCGCCGCCAGACTGGCTCGGTTTATTCGCCGACGACCCGGCTGCTCCACGCTCCTTCAGCTCCCAGGAAGACTGACGCCCCTATCAAGTAAAATGTCCTATCAAAAGCAGAGACTGCGATGATCAACTGAGGATCTGAGGGAGAGAAAGCCCTGGGCCCTTGCCATGTGGCGGTTCACCTCGAGTGGCCCTTTGTCCACTGATCCCGTCTTGTTCTCCATCCCCCATCACACAGAGTTATTGTTCCCTGCGCCCATCCTACGAAAGAGCCCACAATGTTATCGGGGAAACGTGGTCCGGGCGAAATACGCGAGTGGCCCGCCCGCCGGCCGCCCCTCTGGAGTAAACATTCCCGTCCTGTTATTCCCATGTGCTGACCGGTCCCGACATGACCGTTGAAGTTGTAGCCTTGGCTGGTTCATTGTCTTCGGAAACCCAGACATGACTGCGATCGATGCAGGGTTCGACTGAAGATGACAGAAGGTCCCCGCTGTCTTGACTCTGATAACAGTGTCCCATCCATCCAGCAGGTGAATCACCAACGGCTATTGCCAAGCTGTTCTCCCCCCAAGAAGCAATACATGATGCCATGTCACCTACACCACAGCGTGCAGTGCAGCCGCAACTGCCCAATCAGCCAGCCAGCCAGCCAGCCAGCCGCTGGCTCGGAGCGGAGCTGTAAATAGCATCCTGCAGGCGCCTCTAGCCTGTCCAGCTCTAGCGTGTCAACACCATTCGCACTTTTTCTTCTTCTCTTCTTCTGCTCCCCTTCCTCGCTATCTCTCTCCAGCTATGCGTGTCGGTCTCTCTCTCTGATGAATCTATCCTGCTAATGTCTTGGTAAAGCTCCTGCAATCAACACCATCATGATAGGCCTCGTCATCAGAGACAGGGAGAAAACGGTCCGTCGAGGGAGCTGAAATATATTCCCCACTCATTGATGTCGTCGGCACACAAAGAGCTGAAGACCCCTAGAAGCTAGAGTTTCAGGGCAGGAAAAACAAAAAGAAGACCAACGGCAATGGTGTCTAGCGGGAATCCAGGAACAACACCAACATCGGACGCGGTTTACGGTTCCTGCTCACTAAAAAGCGCCACAACCATGCAGCAACTGCCTCTGGGCCCGCTGTGCATCCAGCTCTGGAGCTCTGGCGCACCAAAAGCCGCCTAGGACGGCTCGCTAGCGGCTCTCGTATCGAACCGCCGGGACTGGACTTGATCACGATTCCTCTTCCGTCGCCGTGCCCATGTTGCCATGCAGTGGATATGCATAAACCATTGAATTCTTATGCTTTTTTTTTTTTTTTCTTAACATTCGCCCCATCTTTTGTTCCATCTCCGCCCGCCCTGCCGCTCTCTCCCTTTCATTATCTCCCTCTGGCCCCCATCAGCTTGCGACCCTGTGGCGGCGTCAGCTCTCTCTCAAGTTCCAGCCCTTCGGTTTCTCTCGACACTACTGTAGACTACTTGAATATTGACCACGCGCCAAACATGGCCATCCATGGATATCAGCTCTCCTCCGTAGGCTCTATCTCTATCGCCTTTTCCCTCTTGCGGTCAAGTTCCGCCCAAGGCCAACAGGCACAGTAAAAGGCCCAGCCCAGCCCGACATGAAGACCGCATGACGATCCCTGACCTGCAGCAAACCATTGAAAAAATCTCCCATCCCCAAGTTTGTCAAGCACCCAGGGCAAGAAGAGGAAACACCCCGGTCGCCGAATGTCCGTTCTCAACACCAACGCGCCGCACCGTACTAGACTAAACCACTAAACCACCACACACTACACCACCTACGTCCTCAGCACATCGGACGGTTCCTACGCCTCCCGTGCAAATTCGTTCCGTCATCTTGGAAAGGGCTTCCTCGGGCTGTTTCATTCCCTTCAATCGGGCCATTTCGAACGTGTCTCCCATCTTTCTAACCCGGCGCCCTCGCACCCAAAAAAAGTAGCATCTCATCAATGGCGCGATAAAATCTTTCCGTTTCCTTCCCAAGTGAACGCCGCCCATGACGAGCAAAACGGCAGAGGCGTCTCCCCCCCTTCCCCCTCCCTTGGTAAACCAGAAAGACGACGCGGCCCGGACGGCACGGAGCCCGGCAAGCAACCTCGTAAATTTCATCCAGTCGGGTACCGCGACCGAGCACGAGCACTGCGCACGCCACACGCGACAGCGACACTGGACTGCGAAAAAAGCTCGTCGACCATAATGAAGCAACCGAGCACAGACGGCCAAGAAGAAGAAGAAACCAACACCAACACCGACAATGCTCTTGTCGTCCCAAAATATCGGGACCGGCGCCCATGTTTAAGATGGCAGGACTCAGCTAACTGACACAAGACACGACAGCTCAGCACGTAGCAAGCGCCCATCAGGGGACCCGAGACAGTGCAGACCGCGCGGCCACCACCCGTGCAGTGCTGTCTTGCCTGTCTGTCTGTCTGTCTCCCCCTATTGCCGGCTGCCGCTCGTGCTGGTGCTGGTGCTGTCTTACACCCTTTTCCACCGAATCTTCTTTGCTTATGGTGCCCCTCCTCTGCCGAATGCGCCCGGATGCAATTGGCTGTCATGCTTGTAAGACGGACGCAAGGCACGCTGTCTGCGCGCATGGTCAGCGCGCATTATTACACCCCATCTTGGCGGCTGGGGTGGGATGGCTGGTTCTTATCTGACTGTCCCCATCGCTTGCGGTCGTGCAGAAGTAGTAGATAGATAGGCAGTTGGAGACGGTGCAGCCTGGTTGGCCCCAGCCTTGGGGCTATTTGGTTGGTCCTGCTGTCAGACTCCCGATGAGACTGGCAGGTTGAAGGCATCGTGAACTTTGAAGCTGATAAATCTTCTGGAGCTTACATCAGTAAGAAGATGATGCACACGCGCCACCTCGAGGCAAAGGCCTCAGGCTGAGGTCGAGGTAAGATGCCGCAGCTCCCTCAGTCTCAATCAAAAATCATAATTGAATTCATGATAATTCCTTGTCCGAAAGAACATCCCTTGCCTAAGCATCGTCAGTCATACTCCACAGTTGTCGCAGGCCGGCCCGCCCGAAGGAGATTTATCTCAACCATGATCCTCCCTCGTGACGATAACGGGCACACCTGACCCTGCGTGGTCGTGTCTCCCTGGCCACCGGCTGTCCGGCAAGCGCAGTGAAACCATTTCTCGTATATTCCCGAAATCGAACGTAGAAGGGAGTTCGAGAAGGCCCCTCCGAGTCGCCACATCGCATGGACCGCACCCCGTCTTTGAAGATCTCCGCGCCGTCCCGTCCGTGTCCATGGCGATCATCCACCTCCGCGGCCCAGGCTAGGGGGAGGGCTCCTTCACGCTGTCCAAGAAGACCTTTGGCTTTGGCATTCCTGAAGTCATTGGGAGGATACAGGGAAGAGATCTAGACCTGGTATGAAGGTGTATAGACGGACGAATTAATTCTTTTGTTGTATGAAAAAGCCCAAGCGTAAGCAACTAGATAACCATGAATTAACCGTGGTAATTCATCCCTAACGGAATTCCTACATTGTGATCTCAATATCATGATGGGTTTTGTTTTTTTCCTTCGTTCTTCATTGGAAAAAGAAGTCCAAAATTACCTTACAGATAATGGGCACGTCCAGAGTACAGTATCTGTCTAAGTTACATTTTACTAATATTCTAGGTTCAAAGTTCATACGAGAAGCCGTTGATATAATTTCATTTCTCCTCGAACTCACTTAACAGATCCCTTCTAGAGCTATCGATGTCTACTTCTGAGAATTCTGACCACTTACATCCTCGGGACTATCTTCTCCTGTGACAGAAGTCGCTCAACATCTTTACACGCAAGCAAGCCCCTCTCAATCGCACCATCAATGAACCCTCTCCAGCCATCAGCCCAATCAGCACTCGCAAAAAGAACTCTCCCATCAGCTCTCTGCAGTTCTTGCAGAGACTTGGTCATACTACCGGGACCCCAACAACTCCATGTGCCCTTGGAAAACTCGTCACTTACCCAATCATGGGTGAGGTACCCCAGGACCTCGGCATCAGGGTTCATATGCTCTTTGAAGGTCGAGATAATCTCTTCGTTGGCATGGCGGTTTGTTAGATGCGAGCCGTAGCCAAAGCCAACGCAGAACGTGCCCTTTTTGTCGGTAGTACCGTTGTGGTCGGAGAACGCAAAGCACCACGGAGAGCTCCCGTATCCGCTGGCCACGGAGAACCATCCCGGCTCCTCCCGAGCTAGATGGAAGTGGATCTTGGTTCCTTTGTTGATGTGGCCAGCTTTGATGGCCTCTTGACGGCGGGGAGATAGGGCATCCGAGAAGTATACCCCAGAAAGACAGTTCCTGTATTGCTATGAGTATTGATGTTTCCCTCGTGGCAGATAGATGTCCAACAACTTACAAGGGGATCGTCGAGACTAGGTACTTTGCTTCGATACGATGCCCGACCTTCGTAGACACAGTAACAGACGTTCCATTCTGCACCACCCGATCGACGGCGGCATTCAGCACCAGGTGTCCACGATAATCGCTCAGAATGCTTCGAGCCAGAGAGGTCATGCCCCCCTTGCCAAGCTTGTACGTTCCCGCAAGTTCAAACACGCCGGCCATGGAATGGCCACCAAGAGCATACCACCGCAGCACCTCGGTGAAGGCACATTGGTCGCCAGGTACGGCACCAAAGGAGCTGATCATAGCATCAAACAGGTCCTTCTCGAGCTGTGGAATATCGAGTTGGTCAAGACGATCCTTGGCAGATAGATGGTCGTACTTGATCCAGAGAGCAGGCTCACGAAGCGGATCGTGGGGGTACGGCATGAGCTTGCGGCTGGATAAGCCGTCAATTGAGAAGAACGCATCGGCGGCTCTCTGAACGGCTGCGTTCATCTCTTCGCCATTGATCTCTTGAGAGGGAGAGAAGGTAGCTGTGTAGCGAGTTGTCTCCACGTCAGCGGTCCCTGCAGAGGTTTTCAAATTCTTCTGCAGTCCGTATCGCCGAATTTCTGTGAAGACATGCGGCTGGTTCCTCGAAGGCTATCAGTATAGCTGGGTGATTGCGGAGTGAAGATGTTACCAATGAACCCATGTCCCTCCCATCTCAAATTCTTCGCCAAGGGCTTTGGCAGTCCATGTTCTTCCCCCAATGCGGTCCCGGCCCTCCAAGAGCAGAACCCTCAGATGCAAGTTGCGGCTTAGATCTCGAGCTGCGACCAGCCCTGCGAAGCCAGCTCCAATGACGATAACATCGTAGGTGGAAAGTAGAGAAGAATCGGGCGTGCTGCTGACAACGGCGTCGGTCTGGAGGCCAACTGTCTCACCGACAGGGGTCCAAAGGTAGCCTTCATGAGTAGCAGACATGATTCCGATGAGCAGAAGAGAATCTGGCTTGGATTGTGAGCATCATGGTTGAGAATGAAGCTTGATATAAGGTGATGCCGGGCATGGGGGTGCGGGGCCCCGGTTGCCTATTTGGGAGAAAAAGTGCGAGGTTGATTGTCTGGGCCATGATCATTGACTTGACGTCGTCCACTACAGGGCTCGGAATCAAAGGAACTCCGAATCACAAATTCAATTTCTAATCCATCTGATTGGTATGTCGGGTTGTTGGAAGGTCCTATGGGGGACATTTAAGTGCTGCCACACAGCCGCTTTGGGAGGACTCAATTGATCAGTCCCAATCACATCCGACATCTCATCTAGTAATTCATCTACTACTTTTCAGACATGCCTTTCATCCATAAGCCTCAAGCGGCTTCCAAGAAGCAACCAGCAATGGATGGTTCAAGAAACGCCTTTGGGGGTGGTAAGTTCCCATGAACTTCCGAAGTACCGGCTCAGTTACTGATCACCGCTCAGATGTCGTTTCCACCAGCGATGTTGGTTCATCAAACCCGATATCCGCCGGCTTCTTCCGGATCGAAAAGGGAGAGCCATGTGTTTTTACGTATGAGTTTGACGAGGCGAAGTACTTCACTGAGGGACAATGCCAAGTTGAGGACGAGACTGGCGCGAAGGTCGTAGCCAAAGCAGGCGATGTCATGCTTTTCACCAAGGGATCGACCATTTCATTTTCAACGGACACCTACGCTCTGGAATTTTTCTGCGACCAGAGGGCGAAGCTGTGAGATTTGTAATTAAATGACATGGATCAAGCAGGAGCTTGGATTTCAATAGGCACCACGTGTATCAATGTGTATGCCTCGATTACCTACTAGCCAAGCATCGTTTCCAGTCTCTTTTCACACATAACATCAATCCAGTGGACCTCCTTCTGAACACATTCGCCTCCACTGTCCATGGCATCCATGAGCGACCACACTTCGTTCAAAATGATGGCAGCATGCTTGATAATGCGCAAGCCAACCGTGCGGTACAAATGGAGGACCCGTGTGCGCACAAACTCTCTGAAGTGCAGAATGTCTGTGTTGAAGGGTTGTGATTCCATCGCTCCAGAGGAGAAGCTTTGCCTCAAAGCACTGCCTGCGATGAGAAGTGGCAGCGTTTGCGTTGAGACCGTGCCTGAGCTAGCCGGTATCCCTCTCAGCCTTTTCAGTATGTCAAAGGCGAGTTGTAGTACATTTGACTGTGGGATTCCTTCGAAACCACTTTTTCGTAGATGTCCGGACTCTTCTACGATGTTTGACGTCGCAATTTCGGGGAACGCGCGGTATATCTCTACCAATGCAGACAGCTGATAGCATCGAGCTATAACAATTAGGTGATCCGGCGGCGTTCGAGGATCGCCGACATCTTGTATTCCATACATGAACGGCAATTCATAGCTGAGAATTGCCTGTTCGAGAGATGAAGCCTCGTTGAGCAAGTCGACATGCAACGCCTGTCGGTGGAATTCCCCGTTTTTGACGAAATCAAGACTCCGCAAAGCTCTTTTGTTTCTGACTAGTGTTCCTGGTTTTGCGAGGTGTAGAAATATTGATGACCCTACTCCTGTCCACGGGCATGGGATTGCTGATGATGCTGCACTGGACTGGTCAAAGATTTCGAGGTAATCCAGCACGTCCAAACTTTGATCGTGGATGAAGGAGCTCATTGCTTCCCAATACATCATAGATGATGACAAGAAGGTTTGAACAGAGGTCATATCAGACCGTTTATCCGGATGTTTCAAGCCATTGGAAGATATCCAACTTTTGAATAGTTCTCTTGTCCCGTATAGATGGGGTAGACCAGTCGACGACGCATCATGCCAAGCCTGTAGCAGGTTAAGCTTCCGAATCGGCAACACAGTCGTATGAGTGTGGACTAACCGAAGTCATTCCAAGCAGAATCGCTCCCAGTAACACATCGTCTTTCACAGTGAGGCTCTTGGCGATATGGGTACCACTCGACTCAACACGCTTAGTGTCAGGCTCCTTCGATTTGATAACGCTCGTTTCTGCCAGTTGTTCGGACAGATTGGAAATTGCCTCCGTTTGATATTGCAGTGAGATGCTGACTTGCCCGGTGTCATTCTGGTGGAGATGCGCCGCGGATAAACTCAAAACGCAATAGTACAGCAATCTTGATTTATTCAGCATGCTGGAAACCTCAGTTCGAAAAGGATTAGCGGATGAGTCGAAGTTCGAGATGACTTGACAAATGACAACAAAGTAATGATTCATCATAAGTGCTGAACTGTCAATGGGGTTGCACAGATCAATGAGCACCCCATTGGCCAGTGAGCCCTGAAGCCCGACATCTTCTCTCCTCTGTGCTTCATCCGAGTCCTCGTCTAAAGGACTTTGACGTGAAGGAATAGTTAGGCACTTAGCATCAGTCGCAAGTGGCGATTTGCCCAACTCGCCAGTGCTGTTCTCGGATGTTGAGGAGGTATCGCGTAGTGGGACAGGTTGCGCGTGAGTTAGCAAGCTAACACGTTTGCGAATGGTACCACTCTTCGCAGTCCAGACCGGTGGCATGGCGCTTCTCATCGGATGTGTTCGGTGAGCAGTGAGCCGCAAAGTTGCGTGGCTGGATGCATCTTCACGAGATGTCAAGACATTTAACGGCTGAATGGTACATTTTTCGTGCTTCGTAGACCATTTGATGCGTTGTTCATACCCAGGACAAGATACTCCGATTTTGACGCAACGACGACAGCTTGGCTGTTGCTCGTCGCATTTCAGACGCTGTAGCATTGATAATGTCAGAAATATGTGGCAATAATGAAAATAGACGAGATTTGCATACTCGTCGCTTGCACCTGGAGCAGCCACCTAGATGGTCAAGTTAGCGCCATCTATCAAACGGATGGGGTACTTGAATCAAATTTACTTCTGCCTTTTTGGTTTTTCTTCATGCTGAATAGCTCGACCTTTTTTTTTCCCTCTTGTATTTACCACCCAGGCAATCTTCAGCGAATGTCTTGCTCGTGACTAAAACACATTTCTGTAGGACCATCCAAAAATTCAGGTTCGGAACACGGAATGATTGCAAGCATTTCCGAGCTAGATGGGTGGCATATGCATGGATCCTGGTGATAAGCTAGTCGACGCTAAGACGGAAGCAGATAAAAAGTGCGAGATACCAGATAAGCTGATAAAGCTGATAAGCAGTTGAGATAGAGTAGTTAGGAAGGAATCGGGAACCACAAAAGCTGATAAGCAGGTTGTCCCAAAGCCATCTCCCAAGGTACCTAGGTAAGTAGGAAGTGACGGGAGACTCCAAGCCTAGGTACCTTGCGAGTCTGGTATGCATCCATACTCAAAATCTCCGGAAGAGTAAAATAGACAATCTAGAGGCCGCACACCAAATCTTGACGGAAAATTTGAAGGAAATCTCAATGGCTAACGTGCGATTGAGTATTTAGCGGCTTGAGTTGCCGCATGGAAGCACCAAAAGCATCCTCGCTTCACGCAACCCCTCGTTCTTTGGCTCCAATTGCTAAACCCTAGTCCCTCGAGTCAAGAGAAACAATCGCTGATTGAATGAACGAACGGTATTTCGTAAACTAGAAATAACCTGTTTGAAGAACTCTACGCAGAAATACCCACCCACTCAAGCCTCTGGATGGCTCTTTGTTGTGGTTCCATCGTTCAATCTGCTCACCCAATTCATTCAGTTTCTCACTGCGGAAGGCGGTGAAAGCTGGCAGAACTAGACACATGATTTCTCCCACGCCTTTCCTTTCCGGGTCTCACTAAAACTTTGTGGGTCCAGCTCTGCGTGTCGTGGTGGTGGTTACCAGACCATTAACAAAACTGAAGTAAACATCGCGGACGCAGCATACCTGAGTATCTTGCCACAAACTTTTTCCACTGTCTTATCTTTATTTTACTCGGCATTGCTTTAATTTTTTACAGTCAGATTGTATCCTTAACTTCTGCGAAACCTCTGTCAGCAACATGTGCAAACACGCCTCGTCGACAACACCAAGGCCAAGCAGGCTGACCCTCCTCGACTTACCAGTTTCCGTCGTACTTTTAATCATGGATGAATTATTCGAAAACAGTTTCTATCAGGAAAAAAGGCGCTACATATCTAGTCTCAGCGGATACGATCACATCGAATGCATCGACGAGGATGAACACGAGAGGTTTCGAGCCTTTGACCACTGGAAGGACTTGTCTCGAATGGCGGCATCCTGCAAGGCATTCTACAATATCATCACACCGATTCTGTACCGACAAGACGTACTACTCAATCATTCATCAGCGCTTCTGCTCTCGGCAAAGAAGGGCAATCTTCAGGGTCTTCTGAAGTCGATCCAGCTGGGACAGGCGAATCCCGACAAGGAAGACCACACAACCTTCTGGCATGACAATCATGACGACGGACGTTGCTATGGGTCGTACGAGCGTACCAGAGGTGGAATTACGTCATCTCTCACTGCTCTGCATTTCGCAGCATACCACGGGCATCCCTTACTCATCGATGCCTTGCTGGAGCATGGCGCAGATGCAGGTAAGCGCGCCGACATGGGACCCAATACTGAACTAGAGTCAATGGGTCCTCACGATCAAGTCTTCATGTTCTGTCATACAGCGGCGGAGTTTGAAGAGGTCTGCGGCCTGAATATCGACAACCCGTATACATTCGGGGCCAATGTATTGTTCTTCGCCTTGAAAGATCGCACAAACTCGACTCGCAAAGTCGGCATGGTCAAGCGCCTCATCCAGGCCGGAACATCACTCATCACAAGAGAGCGCGGCAAAATTCATGCTCTGCATCAAGCATGTGCCGCATTGGACTTGACTATGGCAGAGTTTCTGATCAAAGGGCTTGGGGTTGACCCGAATTTGAGAGATGAAGATGGCAACACCCCGCTGCATTTTATGGCCATGGATCCCACGTTTTCCAAAGACACGCACCATTTGCATGCGATGTTCTGTTTCTTGGTCGGAGAGGGGGCAGATATCGATGCAGAGAACTTTCGAGGGTGGAAGCCTCTTCATCATGCGCTGTTCAATTCCGGATGCATTGAACTGGCTTGTCTCTTGACTGATACAGGCGCTGAATTCGATGAGAGGGCGCTATACATCTACGAAGGCTATAGATTGTCAGATGCGGATCGAGACCGAGTGGAGTTGGCATTCGTGGGTGGAAAGTGGAAGAATGATTGATTTGAGACAAGACTCAGATATGGCAGATACGACGGGCGAGGACAGGAAGTTGAAAAGCTGGTTTGAGGCGCAAGTTTGAAAGGCCTTTATTGAGAAAAGGGTCATCTCAATCGCAGTGATAGATGTGTGTTTGCTTTATTTCGCAGGAAATCCACTTCCCTGCTACCCGCGCAGTAGAATATCCATGGAATCAGGTACAAAGAGCGGTTTGTCTCTGATTCTATGGCTGATCAACTACCTCCCTTTCATCCACAATTGCGCCACTCTTGATTTCCTTCAAATTGTCTGCTCAACATACATATTATCGACCAGTCGACAAATCAGGGAACAAACGTTCGCAGGTGCCTTCTAGAATATCCACCTTCATCTCGGTCAAGCAAACGACGACGCCGGTTACTTCCGATGCGTTCGGCAACTGGGGCCAAGCAGTGACAAGCGGAAGCAAGGATAGGCAGGAAGGCCCGCGAATGCAGGCAGCCGTGAAGCTCAGATCAACCCCAAAGAGCCAAAGGCTGCTTTGGAAGGCGGTAAAACAAGATGCGCTGCCGTTGAAGTTTCTTCAAATATTGACTGCTCCCTCCCTTCCTTGCTTTTCATTCTCCCCACCACCACCCACCAATCTCTCCCGAGGAAGATTTTGCATTCACAACAACGTCTTCCTTCTGGAAATCCTTCATCCACACACTCTGCCCCTATCTCGTGGGATCTCGTTGGTCTCTCTCGCATGCGGCTCTGGCTTATCGCTCTGCTCAACATCTCAGGGCTGCGACCCCTCTTTGTTGTGCCCCTAGCTTGCGGTTTTATCACAGTAAGTCATAAATTTTACTACTTAATATTCAGTCCATTAATAAACAGTTTTAGTTACATTCGCGACTACGCCACCGGGTCTCTACGTCCCCAGTGCCACGGAACTGCCTCTTGAGCCTTAGCCTTTCGACTTCCGAATCCCGACTGCTCCCCAGCGCTCCTCTACACCCCTGGCGTTTCCTTACGTCTCCGTCTTGCGTCTGCCGTCATGACGAACGCCCTCCCCGGGCAGCTGGTGCGCCCAGAAACCTTGGACCAGGTCTGCGTGACTACTTCACTACTGAGCCTCTTCGATTCTGCCAGTACGAAGCGTGGTGACATAGCCAACCATGACAAACTATTCGGCGTACGAGATAGCCAACAGCGCCAATTGTTCGAGTTTCTGGACCATCTGGTGTATTTGTTCCATCGGAACATCGAAGTCGTTTGCATTTGGCCGCTCTCAGGCCAACTGGGTCTGTGGAATGGCGATTCGATGCGCCATCTGAAGGCGCTCATGGTCACTGCTAACCCCGAACGACCAACCACCAAACGGAATGATCACTCTCCTGTTCGTGTACAGCGTCTTGGCAATCTGTCCCCCACACATGGGCTAGTCGAGCGCTTGAAGCGTCCATCTGGCATCGGATCATTCATTCTGGACCAGATTACGTGGGCGGTAGATGAGGGCGGCCAAAAGCAGCTCATATGGAAGATTTCACATGCCCAGCATTGCACTAATGTGTTGCATCTTGTTGAACAGGTTCGAGCGCCGGGGATGAACAATGTTGAAAGAGCTTCAGCAATACGGGTTCTCAGCGACTACGTGACCGCGATGTCGTTTACTCGAATTTACATGAGGCAGCAAGAAGGCTTCAGACATCGCAACTTCCGGGACATCCTCGCTACTTCGATGACAGAGATGGCTGAAGCTTATAAGTTCATGCCCTCAGACAAGCGCAAATTCGAAAGCATTGACAAGATCCCGTTCTACCGGGGAGGATCTCGAAACGTCGCCAGGCAGACTCTCCCTGATGGCGATAGGTACCTCGAACGCCGCGAACAGCAGGACATCATCAAGGAAATCCTAGATCTTCAGGGGAACGACAGTTGGTGGCCCTCCACTTGCCTGAACCCTGACAGCACATACTACAAGAACAAGCATCAGAACCAAAGGCGCCCAATGTACGATGTGCGAGGACGGCATGACTTTCATCATATCTGCTATCTTCTTATGAGTCACCTTGGAATGACCGTCACTGGCCTGAACAACGCAATCACACGTCCAGACAGCAAGAAGACCCCCGAGCAACAGGCCGCGAAGGTTGCCGACAAGGTCGCCGGTTTCCAACGCATCAGCATGCTTTGGAGTCGCCTCAGGTCAATCTTGGGTCATATTTGGCGCTCTCATCTTGAGTTCATTATGATCGCCATGGAAGAGCAGACCAAGCGGACATACAAGAAGGACAAGTCGGCCACCAACAGCTACTGGCATTCAAGAGCTATCATGACGACACCTGATAAGGACGCCCGAACTCTATCCGATCATCTGACTGGAGGCGATCGCAGCTTCAGACCCAGTTCAACTGGAGGTGGCTCGTCCACGGGCCGTCGACCCGGAGGTAGTTCAGGACATCCCATGGCGCCTGTAACTCCTGGTGGTTCACCGGCACCAACCGCTGCATTGTCAGGCATGTCATTATCAGGCCCTTCAACGAATGCATCGCCAGACCCACCAGGCTCAGAAGGTGAATGGAAGCTGGTTACCAACAAGAAGAACAGCAGACGTTCTGGGCCCGCTTTGTCGGATCCCTTTGTTTCTCCGAGGGTCAAACTAGCTTCACGCAGCCAAGGTGGTGCTGCATTGCCCCAGCCGGATGCGACGCGGGGTTCTGAAACCAAGCAAGATGTCGGAGCTGACGATGAAGACACAAAAGTCGACCCACAGTCCGAGCTATCAAGCATTGACGACTGTCAGAGACATCGGAGCTGGGCGGAAGCACTTAACGTGTGGTCAGGCAGCCTTTGCCGCCAGTCCGATGCCGTTCGGGCCGTCTCTGTCACAAACACGTTGTTCGATCAATTCTATGACCGAGTCCTTCGCGCGGTACCTCTTGATTACATCGAGACCACTGTCGCCTTCGATGATTCGCGGTCTTTGATGACCCTGGAAGCCTTCCTCAAGGTCTTCAAGAAGAGTGACAACAAGCCCTATTCTCCAACTGACCAGGTAAAGATTCTTGACAAAATCAAGAATCTGGAGTTCCTTAGCGAAAAGGAGGGATTGAAGCGCCCCAGAAGAGGAAATCTTCATGCCGAGCAGATCGCTGCTGGTCTTCACTGCCTCGCCAATTGCTGGGATGCGGTTGCTGATCAGTCAGGCAAGCCAGCCCATCCGCTTCAGGAGTTGCCCGACAAGTCAATTTGTGATGACTTCAAACTATTGCCTCCTGTTCTGGCAGTCTCCAAACGGTGCTGCCCTGGCTGCCATCACTTTGTGTGCATCTGCAGGGAGCAACCCGTCAACGCTAACAAGCTCATGCTCTTTTCAGGCAATCACTCCGACTGGTGGGCTGTTTCAATTCCGCCCTGGACGCCCCGTTGGGTTGCTGATTTATTCTATGAGCGCATCCGAGCAGAGCTTGTGGAGAGATTTGATGCTATTATCTACCCCAACGAGATACCCAAGTCAGGCCCCAGCGGAGGGTCGATCCCGAGCTCCCAGCGTATGGACTTCACGTTGGATCAAGATCACGGCTACAACACCATCGTGCATCCTCGCCCCAGGGGAGATAGAAGATTAGGTTTAGGACGAGCTAACCTTCCGGGCACTCCATCCCGCAATCAGGAAAAGAGGGAGGCTTCCACAGAAGTCCCGCGACACGCCGAAATCCAAGAGAAGATTCCCCGGGGACCAGACCAAAAAGATGGAAGACCGAAGAAATGAGCAGTCCGAGAATCATTTCAGGGATCCTACATGCAACACTGCCAGTCCATCACGCGGACAGAAACGATGGTGTTGACAGAGGCGGAGGCTGATGGAAACCGACCACGGAGAAGACAGTGGCGGGGACGAAGACAGCGGCGGAGGAAGGAAGGTTAGGAGTGGGTAATGGCAAGAGCAGATGATGATCAGGGCGTTTGTGTTTGCTTCTTTCAGCCCAGCTACTTTGTGCTGGTTAATTGCGTCACAGGGATAGACTACTTCAAATAACAAACCCAAAACAAAAACTTGAAAATAACGCCTAATCCCCGTAAGGTAGTGACAGTTACCACCTAAAGTCTCCATCACAATTAGCCCAGAGTAAGGTTGATGGTGAGATCGAGGTATCTTACTCTTCAGAAAACCTGGGTTCCCGGCCGCTTCTCCCTTTATCGGGCCCGGATGACTTGTGGAGTGCTGCCCTCGTTGATTCGGCTTGATCCTCAACCGTCGTCGCCAGCAGCGGTCTAGGTGTCGGATCTCGGCCCCGTGGTTCCAATTCTGCGAGGTTGTCTCCCAATGGTCTGTTGAACGAGGTTTTTCCCCTGCTCGGCCCTTCCGCATCGATTCCCGCTGACCCGTCAGGCCCGTCCGAGTCGATCGCTTTTGCTGCCTTAGCCCGGCCGTGGCTTCTGCAAAGATACCACAATAGAATAGTGAGCAGAACGACGACGATGACTGAGGCTGCGATGATGCCACCAAGGACGCCATTGGAAAGTCGAATATTCGAAGGTGAGGTTTGTGCGAGGTTCGCTAAGGGCCGCGTTGGCGATTGCATCGGTGGGGAGGTTGTTTTTTGAGCTGTTGATATCGTTTGTGATATGTCGACAACCCAGCCGTCGGCCATTGTGCCTCTATTGCAGGAAAGCCAATATGGATTCCGGCGCGAAGAGAGTACTTTTGGATGTTTCGGGTGCGTTCTGCATGTAGCGGAAAGTCGAAGCAGGTCGTGCAACCGGCTCAAGGTATTCAGCGTCAGAAGTGTTTTTAATATGACGATTGTCCAGGTGGCTAGGGACCTGCCATTCTGCGATAGTCTGGGTCTAGGGCAGCTGATATGACGGACCAGTCTGAGCACGGAAGCCACCGCGATCTGTCATTGGGTTCACATCCAGCCTGCAAGATTCGGTGTAGTCGTCGAGTCCCAGTTGCTGACAACGGGTCCGCGGTGGCGTGGAACTATTACTCAGTGCTAGCCGGAAAAGGGGGCCGGAAGTAAATGTTGCCTACCTTAGGCTGGAAATGTCCCTTCCCAGCCACTTTCCTCTTTCTAGGAGGCAACAAGAGACAGTGATACATGCTGCCATTTATTCAATCTCTAGAACACAGATGAAAACATCGAAGACTGGCATTTTCGTGCTCGGAGCGACGCTGTTTTCTTTCTGCTTTGACCTTTCAAGAGCCCAAATACAAGCCCACGGCAAAACGAAATAACCACATTGCTGAGTGGACTTTTTAAAATTCAACTCCAGAAGGAGAAGTAGGCACGATTGATGATCGGACTGCAATCAATTACCCCATGAAAACCAAAACATTTGAGACTGCTCTCTTCACGAAGCGCTCATTGCCGTTTCAGCTCGAGAATGTAATATTCTTCGAAAACCCCCTTTCCAATCGACTCATTTCCCCTAGCCAACTCCTGGCAAGAGTATCCATTCTCCCGAGCGATGTGGACGATTGCTTCATGGTTTGCATACGCGCTTGTACCGAGCAGGACCACTCCCTTTTCTGTCAGATACTCGTGCGCCTCGCCGGCAAACCTTCGCAGCAGCTGATACTCCGAGTCCAGTGTTTTCTCCGATTTCAGTTGCAAAGGGATGTTCGAGTCATGCTGCCATGGATGATTCCAATAGATGAAGTCAAACTTGCCCTTGACGTTCTGGTAGATATTGCTGACGACAAATGTGCCCTTCTGATGGTTGATTTCAAAGTTGCTCTGTGTGATATTGACGGCTTCGGGGTTGATGTCTACCCCAAAGACTTGGGATCCAGCCGCAGCGACAGAGAGTGATGTGAGGCCCGACCCGACGCCAACTTCCAGAAAGCTTCCCTTGTTGATGATGGGGGGAAGTTGCTGCGCGTACCACCATGTTTCGGGAAAGTACTTGGGCGAGTAGACGGAAGGGTGGATCATGATGGTATGAGGGCCAAAAGTCTCTGTGTAAGGTGATTGGTGCTGTTGAGCTTGGTCGATGAGCTCAGAAATACGTTTTTCCCACACATCACGAGGGGAGGCACGTAATCCGCCATTGGTAAAAGCCGAATGCATCTCGACGAATTTGAATTGAAGAACTTGTAAAATGGATTGTTGTATGCGGTATGGCGAGAATAGATCACCTAACTCTGAGACTGACGGAGGAGGACATTTCAGCACCTTAAATACAGATTGATGGCGGCTGAAGGAACACTTCTTAGTTCAATCTGGCCACCCCGTGTCTCAAAACTTGGCCATAAGCCATCCATCATCTCTTTCAATCCACGAGTCATGATGCCCTTGGCGGCGACAATCTTGACAGGAGTTGGAGTAGCTCGCCGAGCATGTCGAAGGTTCCCATAAAACAGCCCTGCCAGAAGAGCTGACGCAGCTTCAGCAGAGTCGCAGTCGCCTTGTGTCACCGTGCTGATGCAGCAATGGCGGGTGGGGGGTTGTCTTTCATGGGACGACATGCTGAAGAGTCGACTGTTTCCATTACAGAGGAATACTACGTGAAGCTCCCAGACAGCTGCGTAAGCGTCTCTAAGTAGCAAAACACCATCTGCATAGCTACGCTGAGGGAGGAGAAGGTTTCAATGGATCCTCAGTGATGCTCTCGAATATCACCCCAGACAGCTTGATATGCGGACCGAGCCAGGGCGGATCGGGCCTACCCGGCATTCGACGATGAATTGCGTGATATCACATTCAGTTCGAAACGAGGGGATTTCTGTCCCCGGTATATAAAACAAAAATATGTCGTCTTGTCCAGCAAACCCCACACACCCCGCACCCCGGATTCCGCAGCCCGCGTGCCCCGGAGTTTGACGCAGCCTTTTGTAGTTGCTGATATAGGCAAAGTTCGCCAAATATCATAGCTCTAATTCAACGAGAAAAAACCCGCGTGTCGACTCTCACGCTATTGCAGCAACTTTGGCGGGGGCTGGACTAGGTGGCGGCGCTGCAGTGCCGGCTCGGGGCCTCGGACCCAACTAGTCGTCGATCATTCGACTTGGACCCTGGGGCTAACTTCACAATCGTGGTAAACCTGCCCTATTTGGCAACATTGAAGCCCAGGAAGCGGACAACCCAGAGCTAAGTTTGCAATCTTTTGAGAACCCAGCTGCCTGGCATCGCACGCATGAGGTGGTTGGCGAACTGTCCAGCGGGTTCAGAGGACAAGCTAACAAGCCAATTTGGACTAGACGAAATGTGCCCGCCGTGCAGGATGACGGGTCTAGCACCAAAACGGCATCGCGCAATGTCTCAGCCCTACTTGCAGAAATCGTGAGACCGTCAAGTTATGGATTGGTCGCGTCTCTTGCGTTTATCCGAATCGTGGATACAAAATGGCCCTAATAACTTTGTTGGGGGTAGTCCTCACGATCATCTCAGGCGCTTACGCCTTGGACATCTTCGTCTTCTTCGCACGAGATTCGCGTGAGCCACAGTATGTTAGGTCACGCGTCCCACTTATCGGACACCTCATCGGTATTTCCAAGCGCGGCGCTGGGTGGTACTACACCGACCTTGCGTGCGTTTCTTCTTCATGTCACATGGAACACCTGCGTTAACAAGTATTGTTAGGTCAAACCAACCGTCCTGCATCTTCACATTGCCTATCTTCACATCCAAGCTCTACGTCATCTCGGAGCGGAAGCTCATCAGCGCCATTTAGCGCCATGCCAAGACCATTTCCTTCACGCCGTTTGCCGCCAAGACCTCGAAGACGCTGAGCGGACTCGGAGATATTGTCCTGAGAATCCAAGACCACCTTCAAGGCCCACCCGAGGCCAAGGAGTTCGATAGGGTCCAGCGGGCGTCGATGTCTGCTGGCCCTGATCTGGATGCCATGGCCTTGGTGTCGGCGAGGGTAACTTTGGAGCTGGTTGAAGAGCTGGCCATGAAGGCAAAAGCGGGAGCTGGGACTCGGATTGAGCTTTACACGTGGCTGAAGCATCTCATCGCGCTGTCTGCCTCCGAAGGCATGTTTGGGCCGATGAATCCCTTCCGTGACCCTGAACATGAGGCAGACTTCTGGTACGTGGAACAAAATGTTCCTTTAGGAATCATGATCTGACTTTCATATTAGGACCTTCGCAGAAAAGTCTCACATCCTTGTGATGGGAGGGCTGATGCCTCAGATCCTGGCCAGGGATGCTTTGCAAGCAAGGAAACGCAACGCAGTCCGATATGAGAATTAAATCCGAAGCGGTGGGCACGAGGAAGCTTCGGGTGTTGTCAAAGGAAGATGTCGTGTTCTGAAAGAAAACGGCGCTACGGTTCGCGATATAGGCCGTATATACATCGGCTTCGACATGGCGATGCTCGCCAATTACGCACCCACGGCTTTCTGGGCTGTCTACGAAATTCTTTCCCGCCCGAGATTGGTTCAGGAAATCCGCGAAGAAGTCCGCAAGGCCATCACCAAAGGTGATGAAGCTGACTGGGCTCTCGACATTTCAATCCTCAAGACGGCCTGTCCTCTCTTGTTATCTTCCATCCAGGAGGCACAGCGTGTGAACTCTGTCCAAGCCGGCATCCGCGAAATCCTCCGCGATACGACCATCACCACCGAAGACAGGTCAGTTTTGTTGAAGAAGGGGAGCTACCTGCAAATCAACGGCATCTCGACGCTACGCGACCTGGAAACTTGGGGTTCTGACGCAGCCGACTTCGACCCGTACCGTTTCATGATTCATCAAGATGAAGAGACCAGGGACAGCTACGCCAGTCGTGGCTGCTGCCAGCGAGCTGCCGCCAAACGCATTTTCGGTTTGGGGCGTTGCGCCACATGTGTGTCCCGCAAGGTGGTATGCAACAGGGGGCATCATGGTGCTTGTTGCGATGCTGGTTCTGAGGTTTGACTTTGACGTCGAGGGTGATCTTCAGGTACAAGGCGGGAGCGAGGTCTCAGGGAGGAAGCCAAAAGCCGCCAAAGACTTTTCAACTCTGCCTGCGCCCGGTGAGGAAGATGGGACGTTAAGATTGGTACACCGAGTACGAGACTTCAGCTCTCGGTACCTTAATAAAGTAGAAAACGCTCCATAGTTTGACTATATTGAGCTGAAGACCGATCAATGTTCCTGATGCTCCAGCTGGAGCTGGTAGTTTGGTGTAGGTGATGTTCGCAAATTCGTCAAGCCATATTAAGTTGGCGCACCGCCACATTGAGCAGTGGTGTGGCTGAAGAAGAGGCAACTGGATTAGATTGGATACTGCGTGAAGTGGCTTGATTAATCTAGCTACGAGCGCCAGGCGCAGCTAGCTATAAAGTAGTATAGCCGATCCTTTATATAAAGGCGGGATTCAGGCTAGGATTTAAGCCTTAGGCCTAAGCTTAGCTAACTACTATCTTATACCCCCCTTTTAACTAATATTTCTAATACCCTAAATAAAACTATTTTTATTTTAAAGTAGTAATTTAATTAATTATATAGTAATTTTATATTATTCTTACTTTTATATATTATTTTTATTTTTTTATATTACTATTATTATTCTATTTTAACTTTAAAATACTTCTTAACCCTTTCTAGCTTTTATATAGCTAATTAATATTATAACTACTACTTAGGTTATCTCTATAAAGATAATTAAATAACTATTTAATATAATTAGTATTACTCTTTATTTTTAACTTAAATTAAGTTTCTAAGCTAGTAATTTAGAGGTTTACTATTTAAAACCTCTTTATAGAGTTAACTTTTAACTTAAATAAATCTAAAAACTATTTATTTTAGTTTAATCTTAAATCTTATATTCTAAATAGCTCTCTTTTATTAAAAATAGTTATTCTTAAGTAGTTAATTAGCTTTATAAAACCTTATTATTATTCTTCTAATCTATTAATTAAGTTTAATTAAGTATTAAATATAATAGTTTATAATTAATAATACCTTAAAGATTAATCTTTTTATAATACTTTTAAAGCTTAATTAATTAATTTTTTACTCTTTTAAACTTTAAACTTATATTAATTTTATCTAAGTCTAAAGTTAATTAACTTTTTACTAGTTAAACTTAGTATAATTATAACTTAAGGAAATACTAACTAAGATATCTAACTTAGTAATAAATTTATAACTTAGTAAAGTTAAAGTTTTTAATTACTTTTTAAGCCTTTATTATTAAATAACTTTTTATATAAAAAACTTTTATAGTTAGCAATTTAACTATTAAATAGAGCAAATTAAAGTAATTAAAATAATATAAAGTCTAACTATAAAAGTTAATTAGTTAGTAAGATATAAGGGAATAAAGTTATTATATATAAAAGAAATAAATAAATAGAAGGGATTTAATTAAGATTAAGTCTTAAGATATTATTCTTAGATTAAGACTTATTATTAATTATAAATAGTTTAAATAAACTTAATATTCTAATAAAGTTATAATACTTCTATATTATTAGTAATTTAGTAAAGTTATTAGTAACTATTTTATAAGTTAGGATATAATTAATCTTAAAATCCTTATTACTAATATTATTAATAATCTAGTAATACTTAATCTTAATATAGCGTAGTTTAAGTAACTATTTACTTAATAGATAATTATTAAAAGTATTTATAGAATCTATATATATTTAGAGGGGTAATTAAATAGAGATATTTATCTTTTTAAAAAGATTTATAATATATAATAAAGCTTTCTCTCTAAGTATTAGATTTATCTACTTAGCTTTATAAGTTAATATAGTTATAAATAATTATAGTATTAATTTCTAAGTAATTAATACTCCTCTATATATAACTATATAACTAGCTATTAACTTACTTATTCTTTTATAATTAGACTAATTAATATTATAGAATACTAATAATTTAAGGTTATTAATAGAGTATTCTAAACTACTAAAATAAAGTATTAGTTATTATAAGCTATAAAGATATCTTTATATTAATCTTAGTAGTTTATTATACTTTTTAGAGATATATTATTAATTTTTAGTAGCTTTACTTATAAGCGTTATAATATTTAGTTATATACTATTTATAATTTACTATAACTTACTTAGATTACTTTAATATTTATATATCTTAATAAGTATTTTATATTATTCTATAATCTCTAGTAACTAAGTATTATTAAAGTAGTAAAATATTTAGTTATATTTAGTAATACTTTTCTCTATTAATATATTATTAATATATTTAGCTTATAAGATTTAGAGTTATCTTATTTTATAATAGTAAATAGTCTTAAACTTAAGGAATTATTATACTTTACTTAAATCTTTAATCTAAAAGAAATTATATAAGTTATCTTTAAAATTATTAATTTATTTAATATTAGGTATAATAATAAGTATATTATTAATATAAAGTAATATTATAATACTATCTTTATTAATAAGAATATAAGGTTTTTTTAGTAGTAGTTTAAACTTTAATTATTTAAGGATAATAATAATTTACTTATATTAAAGAAGAGGAGATTCTCTTAGTTTATAGAGAGCTTTTTTTAATTTATAGAACTAGCTAAATCTATTATTAAACTTATAAAGTTAAATAATAAAAATATCTTAATCTTTTATAAAAATATTTAGAAAGGTTATAACTATATTAATTTAGTAAAGTTTTAGATCTTTAAGTATTATAATTAGTAAAAAGACTTATAAAGTAATAAGATTAGTAATAATAATATAAACTATTTTATTATCCTTATTTTAAAAGTTACTATAAATAACTTATCTTATTCTAACTTTATTAAGTTTTCTATTTATAGTAACCTTCTTATTATATACCTATTTACTTAGGAGATATTTAAAGCTATCTAGGAGCTTTTTAAGCTATTAGTAATCTATCCTTTATAAGCTATTAACTTAAGTTTTTATAGTATTAAAAATAGTTAACTTTAGAGGTCCCTCTTTTATTACTTCTTATTTCTTAAAAGTTATAAGTAAGTAAATCTCTAAGCTAAAGGTTTATAATAAGTTAAATACTAAGAAAGTAAAAGTAATTAGTTCTTAATCTATTTTATTATTAATTAGGTTAATTTCTATAGCTCCTATCTTACTAAATTCCCTATTAAACTTTTTTATATTATATAGTATCTAAGTCTTAAGTATCTAAGTTATTTAATTAAAAAAAGAAATAGTTACTCTTAGTAATCTTATAAAGATAAAGCTTCTATTACTACTTCTTAGTTTTCCTTTTAATCTTTTTTATATTAGTTAAAGTATTTAGAGGGAAATAATAGGAGATCTTAGCTATAATAATATAATAAGGGAACTTTATTACTAATAAGAGATAATAAGAAAACTCTAATTTAGAGGAGCAGTAAGAGAATATTAATATAAAAGAGAATTTTCTTCTAGTATTAATTATATTTATATATTTATAATATTAATATTTTATATTAATATATATAGTTTTAGATCTAAGGTTAGTAAACTACCTCTTTTTCTACTAACTTCTTTTTATTTTTAAGGAGGCTTATTTTCTTATTCTTATTTATTATTACCTTCTAATTCCTAGATATCTTCTAAATATAAATTATTTTCCTCTCTTTATAGTTATTCTTATTTAGTAGAATAAATATAATAATATAACTTTATATTTAAGTTATAAGGTTAAAACTTAGCTTTATAGGTTATAATTAGTAATTTATTACTATATTTATAGGTTTTTAGCTTAACCTCTTCTCTTAGCTATAAGTTATTAAATTTAATTAGAAGGAGCTCTCTTTTATTTTCCTTAAATATTATATCTCTTATTTACTAAATATTATTAGTCTTTTTAATAAGAATATAGAAGATATTATTATAGAGGCTATTATATCTTATAAATCTTCTAAATTTAGCTTTAAGCTTTATTTTCTATTTTTTTATATATAGATAGCTATCTAAGTAAATATAGATATAAGTTTAGTAGCTTTAGTAATAAAGATAGTATATATATAGTTTTCTTATAGTAAGAGATATATTAAGGGTATTTATTAGTTTCTTATAAGGATTAATATTACTCTTACTATTAAATAGTAAATTATTAACTTTAATAGAAGTCTTTATTAACTAAAGTTAAAAAGATTTAGGAAAGCTAGTTTCTATATATATTACTTATGCTTTTTACTATATAGCTTTATTAGAACTTTCTGCTCTCTTATTCTATTAATAATAATTTAAAGCTACTATTTCTAAATAGAAGCTTTATTCTTAAATAAAAAGCTTTATTATTTTAAGAAGAGCTATATTATTATT